CGATATATATATATATATATATATATATATATATACGGGAGGAGCGGAAAGAAATACGGGGGCGAACGAACAGGGGGTTGATGCGATATTCTCCGCTGGGCAACGAAACAGTGACGTCTTTTCCTATCACCGTTAAGGCGTCACAAACAACACGAAGATGTTTTTTTTTCTTTTTGATGTTGCCTGCGGCTTCTGTCACTGTTTCCCACACCAAACACCACGCGAGCACGTGTGCAACTTCATACACGGCGAGTAGGTGGTCTACCAACAAGCTGAAAAAAGCAACACCAATACTCAGAGCAAATAAGGAAAGGTGAGCATTTGCACAAGCTATAACCATGTTGAGAACAAGGACCGTACTGGCTTCTGCCGTGGCTCTTTTGTTGATAAGATTGCTTCTGCATCGCGTTTATTTTCGCCGTGGAGGCAAGCTGGTACCCGGCAGCATTGCGGTTATCACCGGTGGTGGTTCTGGCATTGGTCTGGAATTCGCGCGCCTCTTTGCCAGGGCCGGTTGTCACGTTGTGCTTGTTGGTCGCAATGTCGCAAACTTGCGTGCGGCACAGGCCTCGTGCTTGTCGCTGGGAGCCCCAACCGCCGAGTACGTCGTCGCCGACCTTGCCACAGTGGAGGGCACCACCAAAGTGGGGGATGTTGTGCGGGAGAGGCATGGGGCCCTCAGGTACTTGGTTCTCAACGCTGGGGCGGGTGCCATTGCTGCTTTTTCAAGTGATCCAAGTTTTACCGACAACTGTGATAAGATGATGCAGATTAATTACTTTTCGAATGTCCGTTTGCTTCAGCAGTTGTTACCACTGCTGGAAAACACAAACTCCGCGACAGCTCCGTCTAGGATCATTGTTTTGTCGTCTTTGGCGGGTGTGCTGCCCTCAATATATCGCAGCGCATATACGGCATCTAAGCATGCTATTCAGGGATTCATGAACGCAGTACGCGGGGAGACGGCGGTGTCAATTACGTTGTGTTGCCCCGGCTACGTTGACACCGACTTTCATCAACGGGCCCAACTCGCTGGAAACTTTGCTGCTAGCAACACACGTCGCGGTGTGCCGGCGCAGGTGTGTGCACAGGTCTGTCTGGACGGTGCGCTTCGTGGCGACAGTGAGGTGATAACAACAGTTTCTGGTAAGCTTGGCTACATCCTGCGACCCATCTTCACGAAATTCATTGATGCCCAGGTGAAGCGGGTCAGCCTTCACTCACTTCAAAGGTAGTTGTTCCCTATTGATTGTGGCCGCGGTGGTGTTTGTTTTTGCCTTGAGCGTTATCCCTTTTTTTTTCGCTATTTACTGTGACTTCAAGCTTGTATGACCCTCTGTGTGTGTGCGCGCTCTGGCCTGCGTTCTCCTCCTCTTCGCCATTCCTTACGGGGCATCCCTGTTGGATCCTGCTCTTGGCGCAAGGAATGAACGCACAGAAGTGCAATCAACAAAATAGAACCTGTTCTGCTTATTTCCATTTTTTACCTTTTTTTTTCTGCTTGGTGGTGGTGGTGGGGGGGGGGGGTTCGTTGCATGGAGGAAAGGATCAACAATGGCCAAGTCGAAGAACCACACGAACCACAACCAGTCGCGGAAGAACCACCGCAATGGCATTAAGCGCCCGCTGCCGATGCACCTGCATAATTCGAAGCGCGGTGGATGGCTTCCGGCTCTTGTCAACACCCGCCGTGTGCGCAAGTTGAACCAGAAGGCGGCTTTGAAGGCCCGCCGCGAGCGCCTTGCCGTGCACCAGGCCAAGCTGAAGTAAACCCAGATGGTGCATGGACCAAAGTGATCCTTTCTTTCACTTTTTTTGGTTTTATTTTTACTTCGTTCATCCCCATTAGGAGGAGAAAATTTAAAAAAAAAGGACATCTCTCTATCTTCTTCTGTCGCCGTAGGCGTGTTCCTGTAGGGGTTGGAATCGTGAGTGCGTTTCTTTTTTCTTTTTTTGTTGTTGCCAATGTTTTTACCATCTGCGTTGGACCTTACTTTGCTCCTTTTGCTTTGGTGATTCCTTTGCATTTGATACCTTCAAGGAAGTTAGGACCGATGGCCAAGTCGAAGAACCACACGAACCACAACCAGTCGCGGAAGAACCACCGCAATGGCATTAAGCGCCCGCTGCCGATGCACCTGCACAATTCGAAGCGCGGTGGATGGCTTCCGGCTCTTGTCAACACCCGCCGTGTGCGCAAGTTGAACCAGAAGGCGGCTTTGAAGGCCCGCCGCGAGCGCCTTGCCGTGCACCAGGCCAAGCTGAAGTAAACCCAGATGGGATTAAATGAAGATAAAATGGAGTGTATGCGTGGCGTCGTGTGTGATGCGAAGTTTGTCTTCCTCATCTTTCTTTTGAATGCCCTCGCTTGTTTTTCTGTATACTACGAGAGACAAGATCCTGCTTCCTTTTTTATTTTTATTTTTTGCCGTGCCTTAAGGTTGATTTCCTACTCGGTCCTTTGCTGTGTGTGTGTGTGTTTGCATGTGTGCAGCACGCTTGCACCTCCTTCATCTTACTTACCAAGGATAGTGAGAAGGGGGAACTGGTGGTGGAGTGACTGTTTTCCCTGACGTACGCCTTCTTTGTTATCGTTTTTCTCTTTTTGACTCAAAAGGCAGCAGTCTGAAACCTTAGCAGGTTCCCATAGCGTTATATATATAAGACTAGAGGGAGTGTTTGCGTGTGTGAACGACGGTAACAATTGTCACATTTTGAAGCAGTTGGGCGGGAAAAACCGTTGGCAGTATGCTACGTCGCACAGCCCGTTTTGCTCGCACACCTGTCAGTGCCTTTCTACACGAGCCGTCGCAGCGAAAGACGTTTGATGAAACCTTAGCGCAATGCAGCGCAAATGGGACGGATATGGCGAGCGGCCTGACGTCCGACTTTGCCTCTCTGCAGTCCAAGTTGCTGAAGTATCGAATCGTTCGTCTGCGCGACGAGCTGCAGTACGTGCGGCACCATCCTTTTAATAGTATGCCTTCTTTCTTTGGCCTGTTAAAGCATACTGTGTTACTGACGCTAGTATTTTTGATCTTCCGGAACATCGCCCGTCTCTCACTCTCGCCGTTGGAGGAGCCACCCACAGACTCTGCCGTCACAACAACGCCAGAAACGACGGATATGAATGCGCCGCCACAAAAAAAAAAAGGTAATAATCAGACAAAATAAAAAAGGAACAAGGGAAAACTGACTGGTGCGTGAGGAGGAATGTATGCAATGATGATTATGATGATGGTGGTGATTCTGAAGGCACACATGCGTGTTTTTGATCGTGAGTATGTTTACTTTTTATGTTGCTGAACTTGGAAGTAGCGGACTCTCTCTTGTTGTTGTTGTTGTTGTTGTTATTTGGAGGTGTAAATGATTACAGTCGCACATGTAATCTAAGCGGGTTCTACCACGATTCACACCGAGGCAAGAAAGTGTGGTAATTCTTTATTCGTTTATGAATGAAGGTGATTATTAACTCCTATTAGGGAAATGCATATGTTTTTTTCGTCACACAGGCGTGCAGGACAGGTACACAATACGCGCACACACGCAGATATCGAGAAGGAAACTCACGTAGTGTCAGTCTTTTGCCCTTATTTGAGTTACATATTGATCTAACACACATCATTCCTTCATGATGCCCACGAATGTATGATACTCACGCGTGTACGCATCCCCCCATGCATGTGCAATAACATACAAAAAGAAATTGACATGCTTTTACCTATTTTGCATCTGCGTGTTTCTCGCGTCTTATTATTATTATTATTTTGTTTTCTTATTTTTCTAACAACCACGGTGCAAGTAAAAAGGTCCGTGCTATTTGGGGATCAATCCCGGAAACATCCTCGTCGACATTCAACGAGAAGAAGAGGCGGAAAAAAAAAAGCGGGAATACTTCGACAGTGAAGTGAACCGGGGAGGGGGAGAAATAGCAGAGCGGAGCGACAATAGTGGCCATGGCGTTGCATCGGCTTCTCAAACGGCCAAAGATTACGAATGCCCAGATGCTTTTGATGCGCCGTCGGGAACCGTACAAGCCAACAATGAAGGACCGTCAAGAGATTAGGAATCGTGAGAAGCTTGAGTATTTTGAGAAGAAAAACGCAGAAGGGCTCATGTTTGTTCCCGAGACAGCCTTGCCACCATGGCAGAAGTCTCTCGCACTGAATGCCTGTGCGAAGGCGTCAAGCATGAATTTTAGAGGGTTCCGCGTGCGTGTGGTGGACAAGCAGGACGAACCAGGCTTTCCGACCCCATTTCGTTGATAACGCTCCATATATATATATATATATATATATCTTTATCTATCTGTATCATCGTCTGTGTCGATTTATGTGTGTGCAGGACGTGTACTGGGCATGCATGCCTTCTTTTACCACGGTGGGAGTTGTGTGCGTCGCATTGTGCTCTATTTGATTTTGTTTGTTTGTTTGTTTGTTTCCCCCGGCATGGATGTGCGAGAGGTGAGGGAATCGATACAAAGAAGTAAGCTACGCCAGTGCAAGTTAACTGAAGCACTCATACAAATTAAAAACAGTTGCGAACGTGGAGGCGGACACTTTTGCAATTTCCACTTCTTTCCAGTATCTTGACGATGTCGGGTGTTGCACCAAACATTCATCATGTGGGTGATGTGGACTCCACGATGGAGGTTGCACGTGCGATGTTGGCGGCCGCGAAAGGCGCTCCATTTGCCGTTCTGGCGGAGTCGCAATCGAAGGGGCGCGGAACTGGTGGACGCGTGTGGACCTCACCGAAGGGCAATCTTTACTTTACCCTTTGCATCCCCGAAGCGAGTATCAGGGCGGAGATTGTTCCTGTTCTACCGCTCGTTACTGGGCTTGCCTGCCGTGCAGCCATCATGAGTATTGTCAGCGGGGCCAACTTTTATGTGAAGTGGCCGAATGATATCGTGTACAACGGCAAAAAGCTTGGTGGAAGTATTGTGGAGAGTGAAGGGGGGTACTTGCTGGTTGGTATTGGTATGAACGTGGAGGTGGCGCCTCCGGTGACAGACAACGGTCGAGATTCCACTACTGTGAATTATGCTGCAGCGGCTGTTGGGCAGCCAAATATCACAGCATTGCAGCTTGCTGGGGCCGTTTGGAAGCAGTACTTTGAGATTATTTCAGACACGACGGTATCACGCAAGGCTGTTGTGGAGAATTTCGAGGCGGCAATGGATAAAAACCTTATTCTGCATCGTCGCACTCCGACAGGACGCGATCCGGAACCACTTCGTGCTGTACGGCTGAACGAATGGGGGCATCTCACTGTCTTGAAGCCAGACAGCACGGAGGAAACACTTATGGCGGAGTATCTTTTTTAGCCCTGCATGGGACAATGACAGGGAGAAGGAAGGTAATTTGTTTGTCAACGCGCTTTTTTTTCTTTTACTGCGTCGTCTAGCATGTACGAATCACAGCGTCTTTTGTCTGTGTATCGTATGACTAAAGAAGCAACAACAAGAAATAAAAAGAAAAAAGAAAAAAAAATCTTTCCGCACTTGATTGAGAAGCTTCTGGGGGGAATTCGAGCCCAGATGAAGCTAAATTAATTAGGGAGCGATGCATTGCTGCGCATTATTATTATTATTATTATTATTTTTTGAGCATGAGGGCGGGCTCGGATGGCGCAGATTATGAGTACTATTTCTTTTGCCGTTTTTGTCGTTGCTTTTACCTTCTTGCCCTCGCCTACATTATTACACTCCGCGCGGAAGAGTTTGGCGATTGCAGTGGACCCAAACGACTACCGCTTTGCTGGCTTAAAAGGAGAGCCTCGTTAACGTGCTCGTCTCCCTTTCGTATGCGTTTTTTTTCTCGGTGTGCGCTTTGCGTCTCCTCTGCAAGGGTGGGAATTGTTGGGGGTACGCCGAACCCAACGGGGGCATCCCCCGCTGCTGTGCTCTTCTCTCTACAAGAATAGAGGCGACGGCATCATATTGGCAAATATTCTCCCTTTTTGTTTTTAATAATGCTGTTTGTGGTTGTTGTTTTTTTCCCTCACGTCGCTGCTTTCCGCCGCTTGCTACGATTGACATTATTTTGCAAGCATCGTAGGAGATAGGAAATTGAGATAAAAAATGATGATTGTGTTGTTTTGTCGTTGACGTGGGCAAAAGTATGTGTCTTCTTTTTTTTTTTCTGGCTTGGGCGTGTGTGTGTATGTGGCAGTTGAAGGGGGGAGGGGGGGGATCATCGGTGGTTTTTTGAGTGCGCCATGTTTCTTTGTCTCTTCTTGCTCTTTCATTACTTTTTTCCCTCTCTGTCAAAGCAGCATCGTCTTTGTTCCTTACCTGGAGCAGGTTTGGAGCGAACGGCGGCCCACCATTTTTCCTGCTGACGCCACGCGGGTGACGAAGGCACACGCAGTGGAGGAGGAAGCAAGTGAGAAGAGGCCTAAACGTGGGTCAGGCCCAGAATTTTGTTTACTTCGTTTTCTCAGTGTCTCTCTGTTAGGTGCGCTGCATCTTTTATTTGGCATCTAACGTCGTTTGCTTCCGAGATATCGCAGTACGTGTGGTTCTGATTTACGAAAACCACCGCCTCGCACTCACGGAAGGAGCAACAGAGAGTAACACGTAATAAACGAAGCAGAGATGGGTTCTACGGGCCGGAAAGCCGTGGACGAAATTAACCACTGGATCGCTTACATCGACTGCGCCCTTTCCCACCCGCACCCGCTTCCAAAAGGAAAACACATTTTTCGTAGCGATCTCAGTACTGTCCCGGAGGTGCGTGACATCTACGACTGCTTGTACAAATTGTACACAGAGGAGACTGCGTCGGCGCCCTTCAGGGAGCCAGTACACGCACTGGATTTGGGTGTTTTCAACTACTACGAGGTGGTCAAGGAGCCCATGTCGCTGCGAACCGTGTTGGATCGCATTGCCGAGGGTGGCCACTACTCCCAGGCTTCTCAGGTGTTAGCGGATGTGGAAAAAATTTGGAGCAACTGTGAGAAGTTTAACGGTGTTGACTCCGCACTTGCCGCAGACGCCAAAAAATGTCAGGGGATACTGACAAGGCTGCGGGAGCGACTGGCGGACGAGCAGCCGGCACCAAATGCGGAGGTGGATAAAGTAATTAACGCCTTTGAGAGTGTGGATGAGTCCGTTCTGGGTGCACTAGAGGATTACTTCCGTAGGGAGGATCCTTCACTTATTCTGAGCAACGGGGACGTGGATGTGGAGGCGCTGCGGGTTAAGCACCTGCGGGCCATGAAAGCCATTCTTGAGCGTGCGATGAACGGCGGTGGTCTGTGAGGTGCTGCTTTGCCCAGGACACACTGCACCTGTGGCATTGCGTACGAGTTTGAAAAACAGGGAAGGCAAAAGCAAAAAAAAAATAATAATAAAACCAAAAGGGCAACTTGTGTCAGGTTTCAGTGCTGTTACAACACCTGATGTCTATTTGCCCTCCACCTTCTTCATGTTTTAAAATACCTCTTGTCATGGATGCTGGGGAAGGAGCGCTTGATGCACTGCGTGAATGACTGTGTCTGTATGTGTGTGATGGAACTGGCGGTGACGTCGCACAGAAAGGAAGGACACATCTGAATACGTGTTTGTTTCTGGTGGTGATTGCATATCTGCTGCGCTTTCACCCCAATTGGTCGATATCATACACACACACATACACACACTAAAACGCGATCATATAATTTTCTATCTCTTCTCTCTTTCACTCTTTTTTTGTCCATGTGTGTGCATTTGGTCTGCATTCCGTCAGGCCCATAACCGCAACAGTGAATACACAAGCATAATATATTATATAGTTGCTGCATCGTAGATGGGCGATGAAAGAGGAAGAGGGGAGACACAACAACGAGAGCAGTATGAACGTTGAGGCTGATGCAACTGGGGCCTCGGCAAATGCGGAGATCCTCGTGGCCCTGTCCCGACTTAAGAGCGCTCTGGCACGCGACTTGGAGACAATTAGACAGCGACAGGCCACAGCTTTTGCGGCGGAGCAGCCGTTGTCGTTTCAGGAATTTTTGTACACCAATGAAGAGGTGGTGGTCCCACAGCACATCGTGGCATTGCGCGCCAAACGTAGTGCCATAACTCATACAATGATGCCCCCCGAAGAGGACGACTGCGAGTAGCAGAGAGATTGACGAGCTCTCACTCTTTGTCCTTTACAAAAGTATGCAGTGCGGTTGTGTGTGTTTTTTTGTTTGTATTTCCCCCCTACTGTCCATAGCATGTGAGCTGTTGCAGGGATTCCCGCTGCCGCCAAACGTCCCGTTTTTGTCTATAGGCTATTTTTTTTTTTTCTGCTTTTGCTTGTATTTGCCTTTCCCTCTTTTTTTTTTTTGCACCCTTAGGGCTGTTGTGTGGCGTGCAGAAGTACGGCAATTTACCAAGGTAGAGCAAGCACTCGGATTGTGTGATTGGCATCAAACGTTCGCCAAACCCATTCGTGTTGGCGAGAAGACTCGGTGGCGGCGATAGTCCATAGAGGGAGGGGGCGAGGGGGAGGCAGCTGGCACTGAAATATGCTGCGTCTTTGTAGGGTGTGGCTGCGGGTGCAGTCGCACCAAAAGAAGAAGTCGCAACATCCCAACGCGGGCACACGGTTTGGCCGTGTGTATAACCGTGGCTTCATTCGCTACGGTTTTGGAGGCTTCGGCATGAGTGTTTATACACCAAAGAAGGATCGCACCTTTCGTGTTCAGCCGCTACCACCTCCACCCGGAGACGTCTTTGCAGACGATATGTCGCTGGTGCCTACGACGCGAACGCTGTCCCCTAACTTTCGTGCCTTTGCGCTGCAAGACGGCGGGGTGTTTTTTTCTCACCCATCCCATGATCAGATTATGCGATGGGGTCAGGGTGTGCTGACGGAGGAGACGAAGGCCACGGGGATGACGTCTATGGACAACTATGTCAACTCCCGTATTCAGTCTATCATAGCAGAGAATACAGTGGAAAATGTTGCGCTAAGTCATTGGCGTCGACGGCACATGTGGAATCTTATCAAGTCGCACGGGAAGCTGCAACGGCGATGGGGCGTCTCAGATGAATCGAAGGGTGCACGGTCAAACATTTACGGACGTTCCTAATGATTCCGTGTGTTTTCCTTTTTTTTTTTTCGGTGGGGAATGATTTCTACTGCTGATACCCTCTCTGTAGTATTCCATGCACGCAAAATGATTTTGCGTATGCTTGTTTTGCTGTGAGTATAGGCGCAAGTGTAACTGTGGTTGATGATGATTTTCTTGTTTTTGTTTCTTGTTGTCGATGTTGTTTGTCGTGGAGCGGCACGGCGTGAATACATGTGCATCGCTGAGCCACGCAGTTGCATGGTTACTTCTATTTGTGTGTGCGTGTGTGCGTGTTTTACTTATTTTCTACACTTTCTGATATTCTTTTTTTACCTTTTTGCGTAGATGTTACACAATTGTGAATGTTGCTGTTGCTCCTTTCTTTTTCGTTTTCTATTGCTTGTATTTTTAGGTTGTGTATGCATTTAACTGCGTGTGTGGGGTCTTTCTCTGTTGGCTGTCATCATTAGGATAGGATTGGCAAATGATTCACTCCTTTGCCCTCGTTTTTACTGGTCTGCTCACGTTATCAGCGGCGTTGGGCGGCCACATCCCAGCCGCCATTCTGCTCATATACATGATGCTGTTCCGAAACTCAAAAGGTGCGACCCCCCCGGTGGTGCTTCTGCTGGCGTTTTTATTTGCGTTGTTGCAGGTGCTGTCCACGCTCATCGTAAATCTAGTCGCTGTCTTCTCCCCCGCGGCGCGGAAGGTGCTTTTTGGCGACCACCGTGTCTTAGTCGAGTCGTTCGGCGTCTATGAAGCAGGGCCGGGCGCCAAGGCGTGGATTGTTGCAGGTGCCTGCATCCCCTCCAAACTTATTCTTGTGTTTATTACTTTATTTCGAAGAAAACTGTCACGCCGTTCTTCCATGAGACGCGTGCGCTCACTGCCAACAACCATGTCTTGGGCCTTCATGAGCGTTGCCACACCACTGATCGCCCCCACTGTGTTGGCTGGAGCGCTCTTGTTGATTGGCATGATTTCTTTTTTCTGTTTGGCGCTCGGAGCGAGCACACTGATATTTGGGGCGTTGTCTTCTCGGCATGGCCGCTTCCCACTCCTCGTTCTACACGTCTGCTCCGTATGTGGGACATTTGCGAGTTGCATCATTTTGGTGGCTTCATGCGTTTCCCAAAATACTGCCGTGGCCCATGCTCTGGTTGACGTGGATCCCATGTACGGCTTGACGAACTTGTATAACCAGACCGCAGACATCGCTATTCGTCGATTTGTGCAGCTTTGCTTCATGACGCTTACACTCTTTCTCGCCCAAATGGCTATGGAATGTCATGGGAGGGAAGTGCAACAACAGAATGTAAACAACCCGCTTTTGCGTGAAGAGGTACCAAGAAACAGTGGTAGGGTGGGTGGAGGCGTTCGCAGTACGTCTGTGGCAGTAGTTTTTAATCGTGTGGGCAATGCTGCTGGTGGTGATGGTGGTAGTGTTTCTTCCTATCGGACATGTTGTTTGCCTCTTGCTGTGGAGTCATCGCACGCGCGTTCTCAAACAGAACGTTCATCTCTTTGCAGCAGCGCTGCTATTGGAGCGAGCCCCATCGAACGGGTTGTAGTTGCCTTTGGTTGTGCTGGCACATGGATGCTGCGGATACTGCTTTCCAGCGCTCGCCTGATGCCGTTGGCGCTCATGGCTGCCAACATGATTGCTTTTCCAACCGTCGTCTCGTTGAGTTTGTTGCCGACGATGATGCTAGGGCAGCTGCTGCACTCTCAGCTCTTTGCGTCTCTTTTGCGGCTGACGCTGCTCCTCACTTTTTTCCTCGTCAATGTCCAGTACGTTGTGTTTGCCACAGATACGGTCCAGCCAAAAATTGTACGACGCCTCTTCTTGAGCGACGAGGGGCAGTGGCTGGGTTTGGTGCAGCTGATCGCCAGCGAGAATATATTTCTTGCGATGCTTGCGGCCTACGTGGTTACTCGTCACCACTCCCGTTTTGCTCAGCGAGAGGAAAGTGACTTGAACGATAACGTTGTGTCGTCAGCATCGTGGTCACGATCATTATTCCCGGCATTAGCTTTGCATACGCCTCATGAATTTATGACGTTGCGGAGTGTGAGTGAGAATAGTAATAACTGCAGTAACGTTCATGCTCCTTTGGATTCGCTGGGGGTACAGCGAGCTGCGGAACTCAAGTTGGGGGCTCAGCGTGTGACAGAGTTGCTTGCGTATTTTCCTTCCGACCTGCCTGAAAGCTTTGAGGCGTTTGAGCAGCTCTTTGTTTCTCTGGTTGGGCGCAAACCTATTGCTGAGGAGGTTAGATGCCTGTACAAGGATCAAATTGGCGATGTCCTTTTACTTGAGAAGCTGCATGATTCAGAGCGTCCTCTGCTATCTTATTATGCTCGTTGGGCGGAGGTTTTGTTTATGCGTCATGCCGTTCTCATTGCCCTGCTACTTCTTTTTTGTGTGGGTTCCTTTACATATCACATGGATATTTTACATGCCGCTGTGTTACTGCTATTTATTCTCTACTTTTTCCTTCCGGAGTCCACGGGCAATGCATGGATGTTGGTGGTGGTATATTTGATGTGCTTGACGGCGTTTGAGCTTATATTTACGTTTGCGAGTGGGTTCTTTAAACTTCCCACATACATTGCCGGTGGTTCGTTGCAGTACGCCACAATTGGGTTGGTTCCACTGCGTTCTCGCTACGAGGCTGTTCCATATATTTTGGCTATTTTTGTTATGACGTTTTTGTTCTTGCGGCTCCGTGTGTGCCGCTCATGGGGGACTGTAGTTTCACTGCACGAGTGGGACCGTTTTTGCTGCTCCAATATCGCCCGTCAGTGGTCCAGGCGGGCCACGATGACGGTGGCCACGGCAGTGTTTGTAGCATTAGGCGTATTTCTGGATTACTCTCTTATTGTGGAGGGGTTTCTTGCACTCTTTCTCCTCCTCACCATATCCGCAGCCGCACTTGCTCTATCGAACCCGCTGTTTGGGACGTTGTGGTGTATTGCGTGTGTCTACAGCGGCATAGTGATGACGGTGACCTCCGTGTGTCAGTTTACACAGCTTGCGGAAGTTCTACGAGAGAATCTTTTTGAGCGCCTCTGCCCTAGTGATGACGGCAACAGCAACGCCACCATTATTAGTCGTTGTGAGCAGGAGATTGGATTGTACCCGGCGCGCGAGGACATGCCGCTTACCTTTTTTCTTGCACCGTGGTTTCTTGCCTTTGCCACGGCGATGTCCCATCTCGGCCTGAAACGCGAGATAGAGGCATCACTGCAACGAATTGACCACCATGAGAGCGTGAGTGGGGGAATGAGCATGATGCAGCAGCAAGAACAACAGTCACCCGAAGGCCAGTGTGATAGGGAACAGAGATTTGTGCTTTTGGACTGCACCTCTTTGCCTTCGTTAGACAGTGGCGATCAGCGCTTTATCCGGCACGCCCTGAGTCTTCTTGTAATGATGGACACACTTGGCGAGTGGATCGCCGCGTTTGGCGCAGATTATGGTGGAGTAATGGTGTGGGTGTCGCTTTTTCTACTCGCCACGTATCGCCTTACAGTGCTAAACTCTGTCTACATGGTGTTTTTACTCCTTGACTTTACTCATATCTCAGTGTTGATTTATTGCGTGCTGCACATCCTTGTCCTATACACGTACAAGTTTTCATTTGTCACTGAGATTACGTACAGCTTCCGTGGTGTACCGCTTGCTACATTTATTGGTTTGGAAAAGGGTGGTGGGAATTCACCTTTTGCGCTTGTGCTGGGCCCCGTGTTAGTTTTTTTTGTTATGCTGCTGCGCATTCACACATGTGGAGCTAACAAGGACATCAGACGTCGTCAGCGCACGGAAGGTCCGGAAAGCAGCAGCTGGAAGAGTGTCTTCTGTACACAACTTTTTTTCTACGCCGGCTACGAGGGGCTGATAGTGACGCTGCTTATACTTCTTGCCTCTTCCAGCAATTCTTGCAGTGGTGCAGTGGTGGGATTGGTACTGCTGCCGCTATTACTAGCAACAGGGCGGCAGCGATTGTATCGTGGGTATCCCTGCTTTTTTATTCTGCTGCTGCTTTCCCTCATACTTGTCTGGCAATACGCACTACTTTTAAATGTTGCACATAACGTGTTTCCTACGATTGTGCGTTTTTCTCAAATGGCCGACGGGAGTGACACCTGGCAGCACTGGGTTTTTGTGTCACACTACCACACCCTTGTGGGGTGTTTTATCGGCATCATGCTACTTCACACAAATCGTCAGCAGTCTGCAGACACTGCTGTGTCCTTCTCTGTGCTTCGATCTCAGTTTAATGGGCACACCACTCTGGTGGGTTTTGTTCGTGCAGCATCTGTGAAGTCACTTCAACGTTTACCACGTGACAACTTTGACCGTGTCATCCCGCATTTTGTGGAGGCCTCACCGCCAAGTTGTCTTGGACGTGTGACGACACATATCGTTTTTGCCGTGTCGTACTTGTGTCCTGTAGCCGTCTTTTCCTTTGCCGCGGCGGTGGTGTCGTCGCCCTCTGTCATCAATCTCCTGCTGCTTGTTGCTGGATTGTTGCAGCTGGGACATATGGAAACGCTGCATTGGCGCTTCTCCTCCATTTGGCCGTCCATATCGGCAGCCTACTGGCTTCTCATTTGCCTCCCCGTCGTCTGCAATGCACCGTACGTGCGGCAGTTTTTGGTGGAGCACTGCAGTTTTAGTGAAGTTGTGGGTGTTGTGCAGGCAGGTGAACCCTTCCTGCTGGGCCCACTGCATGTCTTGCTTCTTCTTATGGTGACGGTGCAAGCACGTGTTTACAATGACTTCCGTTATACGAAGGTTTTGCGGCACATGTACGACCGCACCTCTTCGCGGCATTCTCGACACGAGGAGCTGTGGACTTGGCTGCGGGAAAAATATGAAGCGGAACAACGGTTGGTGGACGCCAAAAGCCGAGCCCTTCATGTGAAGCTGAAAGAGATACGGAGCATCCTGCACAGGGTCAATGATGCGTGGGAGCCGGAGAACATTCCTTTTGAGATGTCTGCGGACCAGCTGGTAAACAGCAAACACAAATTGCAGTATGATGAGGCAATCATGAAGTTGCGTCAGCGTACTGCGAATGACGATGAGGAAGCTGATGATACCGCGCCGCAGCGGTTGCCATTGGAAGAAGGAGAATGCTCATCGAAGAATAAGGCGTTAGCTGAGGAAAACGTCAGTGGCTTGCATAAAGTGTCTGACAGTAGCGGCAAATGTAAGAAAAGCCTAAATACACGTCTTCAATGCGCAATTTACATGGGTGCCACAGAGGTTGCTGATTGGCTTGCCTTGCACACGTATGACCCACGCCGTCACACGGCTGCACATTATCGAGGAATTTACAGCCGCCTGTTTTGGGTTGCTATTCGAGCGTTGGAGCGCCACACTGTGCTGTTGGTACTTCTTACGACAATGATTAACTTTATGCTTTCAAGATGCTTATGGGAATTGATACCGTTTTGCTTTATTCTTGTCGTGGCGATCACCTACCATCCCTTTCCGCCCCACTTTATTTTCGTATGCCTCTTTTATTATGTGGCAATTGGGATTCTGCTGAAGGAACTGATTGATGTTGTGCTTACCCATCTTTTCTATTCACAGCCTCTTATCGAATTTCTGGCGTGGACGATTCTGCACGTGTCGAAGGGTGCCTATTGGAAGCAGCGGATTGGGCACTCGTATGTTATAATGGACTTCATTGTTTTTGCTACACTGGTGCTGCATCAGAAAACCTGCCTGGCAAATGGCGTCTACAGTCAAAAAGATATTTTGCAGTCGAGGGAAAGTGAAAAGCCTCCAGAGAATACACAATGCGTTAGTGGGGGACAATACTCCTCCTCCCGTGTGTGCTTCTTCTGCTTCTTCACCATTCTCTACGCCGGATGTCGCATTTACGACAGATCAAGTGGCGGAGGAGGATCAGCAGGAGCAGGTGTCACGTTCACCGAAGGCTTCCGCCGTGGTCAGCCGCACAGAAGGTGTGATGGGAATGCACCAGAAAGTCCCTCTGTTTGTGTCTGGTTTTGTGCGAAATGCAATTACCACCCCTGGTGTCGGTAAAGACTGGTATGTCTACTATTTAACCGTTGATGCCATCGCCTTGGTGGTGTTTGTGCTTGGTTACAACAAGTTATCCGGTGGGGTGGAGGAAACTCTGCAGGAGAGCGTCAGACGCAACCTCCTCCCGGGTCCCATGGTGGTTGTGGCCCTTCTCTCAATCTTGTATATGATTGCCGATCGCATGTTGTACGTCACGCGTTGTATGAAGGGAAAGCTTCTTTTGAACATCTTAAGTGGTGTTGGTTACTGTCTCTGTTACTTGTTATGGGGACACCTTGTGACGGTACGGTCCCGTTTCGTGGGGAACGTGTTCTTCACGCTGAAGATTATTGCCTTGACAATCGCGGTCCTTCAGCTGCGTGTGGGGTACCCACGGCATCGTCGACATGACCCGTTTACATACACAGCCGGCCGATCTTGGGTTGCGGCGTCGTTGTATGCGTTGTATCGTGGAGTTCCGTTCCTCTGGGAAGTGCGTGTGGTGACGGACTGGACTGTGGAGAAGACAGCGCTAAACCTTGATGATTTTCTCACGATTGAGGACCTCTACCACATTGTCTTTGAACGACGGTGCAAAATACATGAAGCGCGTGAACAGCAGCCTATGCTGGGCATGTCCATTTGCCGTTCCGCAAAGCTCAGTGTTGGCCTTTTGCGTCTCGCCATGATCCTATTGGCGCTGATGGCTCCGCTGGTGTATTACTCCACCTTTAATCCTTCCATAGAGTCCAATAAGGTGATGCAGCTGCGAGTGGGCCTATCGTTTATGTCCTTGCAGCCGTTTTATGTTTCAACGACATTTACCACTGAGACGATTCCTAACGACTGGGCTTTGTGGTTGGCCCGCACACGTCCCTCGCTGGACCAGGAGGGGATCATGAACACGAAAAAGACGTTGCAACTAGTACCGGTAAGTTCCTGCAGCAATGATCTTTGGTCAATCAGCCCGCATGCATTTCGGCAGCTCAATGAGCAGCTTACAGCGGCGATGAATAACAAAACCGACATTCAACTGTATCAGTCACTCGAACTCTCACGCAGTGGGACGTCGAATCCCGTCTTGTACGCGCGAAGTTGGACATTTTCCTGGAAGACTGCTCGTGAGATTCACCATATGTTGAACAGTCCTGTTGCAAATGACACAAAGTACGTACTGCTGCAAAACTTCTACAGTCCCTTTTTTTTTGCTCATCCCGATGGTTTTTCTGCCTTTGACGATGGGACCGGAAAAAATGTCATAGACTGTAGTATTGTGCTCCGGCAGGATGTGGAGCCGATGCTAAACAGCACTGTCCGTTACTGGTGTGTGAAGTGTCAATCACTCTTTACGGGCGGAAATGTCCCGAGTGACAACCTCACACGCTTTCCAGAGTGGCACTGTCTCTCCACCGGTGAGGGCTGCAACAACTTTGATTTTGAGCGACAGAACGGGGATGGCGGCTACAACCCGGTGTCGATGTACTTTGTGATTCTTTCTGATCCCTCGGTGGGTGGTGTGTCTTTCCTGCAGGGTATCGGTATCGTCGCTCTCTACACGACGTTTGTGCTCGCCTTGGGCCGAATCTTCCGGGGAATGTTTTCAGATAAGGCAAAGCACGCGGTGCTGACTGCCATGGCGGACCCCACCCCGGTCGCCCAGCTGATTGAGTACATTGAGCTGGCACGGGAGTGCAGCGACCTGCGGCTGGAGCAGTCGGTGTACTTCGAGCTGGTCGACCTGCTGCGGTCGCCTGAGCGGCTTCTGCGCCTGACGGGGTTTAACCGACGGCTGTACGACGTGGAGACGGAGGTCCTGCAGTCCCCAAACCCCTCTGCGAGCACGCCCGTGGGTGACAACTCCTCGCGCGACGATGACCCGCTACGGGATCCAGTGGCGGATGCCTCCACCGCCAGCGAAGGTGCCCACGAGAGGCGGGAGTAACTTGCCCTTCACTGCCATCACCCCTACGCAGTCCTACGAAGGGCGGGACGCGTCCTATGGCGTGGTGTAAAAAAAAAAAAAAAACAGAAGGTGAAAGTGAGAGCTGTGTTGTTGTTTTTAATTGATGTTGTTTATGTGTGTGTTGCCCCCGTTTTGCTGTTATGTTTGTATATGCGCATCTTTGTATCACGCGTGCCCGCGTGGATTGTCGCTGCACGTGGGTGTGTGTGGTAGGTGAATGCTATTACCGACATCAATAACCACGACCTCTTCCACCGCCATTATTAGTCATTGTCCATGGACGTAGAAGTATATGCATCCAGATGTCAGTTGAACACACATACAGAGAGAGATAGATAGAGAGAGAGAGAGATAGAGTTGCATTGCATCTGAATTTGGATGGAAGTGATTTGTGTGCATTTTCTCTCTTTTTACTCTTTATGGTTTGTTTCTTTGGCTCTTGCTTGGTATGTACGACAGTGGCAAAAGGAAGAGGGCCGTATTGTGTGTGTGTGTGTCTGTGTGTGTCGCAGTGAGGTGTACATACTTTATCGGGGGGGAGGGGGGGTGACAAAATAAGGGGCAGCAATAAGGAAGAGAGCGAGGACGGGGAGGTATCATGCCTGAGCCCTCATGTACGGTGTATGATAACACGCTTGGCGGATCTCGGCTACGGCGCCACATTGCCCCGCAGATACGCACTGCCGGTCTTGTCGTTCCACGTGACTGCGGCACTGTTGCGCAGCTTTTGTCTGATTATTACTTGTCCGGCAGTGTCACGCCAGACCTCATCAAGTCCCACAGACGTGGTGGTGAGGTTGGCCGAACCTCCCGACATTACGGTCGTGCGCGCGACCCCCCAGTCGATGAGTCCATACGTCACGGTCTCAAAAACGATGTCAGCGAAACTGCGTTTTTGTGTTTACAGCCTGATACGAATCGTCTGTCGGCACTGATGAATGAGCAGCTGGAGCACATGTATCTTTCTTCCGTTCGCCGCCCACTCGGTCACGCACCGGTACCACCGTACGAGGTGGTCGTCCCTCGTGATGGGTTTGGCATTCCTTCAGACCCGAGTGAGAGCGTCGAGAGAGTCATGTACAGCGGTAAGGACGTGGACGTTCTTCACCCCGTCGGCGAGCGCAAGGATCGAGGCTACAACTGGGAGAGCGTTGGCATCGACCCAACTCAACACCGTTTCGGGAAGACCTTTGCGAAGGATGCCATGACGTCGGCGGATGTGATGCGTGAGAATTGTCTCGTGTCGAATGTGTTTCCAAAATTTGTGAAGGACCACCGGATGGTGGGGAAGGTGGAGCTTGGTAAACCACGTTCATACGGCTTTGATAACTCCACGTTTAAAGCGACGGCGGAAAAGCGTGCTGTGCGGCGTTCGCGCCGAGGGGATGGCGACAACGCTCGCGCATTGCTTAGCAGCTGGGCGCGACACCCTGCCACACTGCAGGCACTCGAGAAGCAGGGCGACCGCGCGGCGACCTCAGAGGCGGGTTTAATAGAAGGTGCTACCACAACTACTGGCGACAACGGTGGTGAGGGCAGTGTGAGGCGTTCAAGGTTTGCATGTACGTTTGACAGCAAACAAAGCGGCAGGTCGGTGGCCCTCACGGAGTTGGAAGACGAGGCGCGCGTGCCGCACCTTTTGTATCCTTGCCATTATGTGCAACTTGGCGTAAAGTCTGAGTACTTTGCGGGTGGTCGTCCGTTAGAAGAAATACGGAGACTGTGCAGGAAGGTTGACTTCGGGCTCAACGACAGTCAAATCGATGAGGTGTTTGCAAGCATCGCCCAGGATGGCCTTTGCGGCATCGAGCAGTTCAAGAACAAGGCTGCAGCGATGGGATACTTGGCGTAGCGTCTTCTCCTCGACAACACCTCCTGCGTCTCCATACGCAGCATCAATTATCTTATGTACCATTGCGAGGGAGAAGGAATTGAATGCGGAAAAGAAAACTTTTTTTGTTTTTTTTTGTTTCCTCTTTACACAACAACAACAAAAAGGAAAATAGTAAAGGAGAGAGAGAAAAAATCGGGTTGACGAGGTTACCGGGGGATAAATCAATCCGTCACCTAAGAAAACAGCCGGAAGCATTGATCAATTTTGGAAGTCGGGAAATTCATGAAAGTGACAGTGAAGCGAAGACTAAACCATGTAGCAAACACCACCATTGCACCTGGCCATGTATCCATCTGCCTGCATCTTTCACTTTATATAATATATGTAAGTATGTGTGTGTATGTGCTGTTGTTGTTGTTGTTGTTGTTTTTTGCCTTTTTTTTCCTGTAATGGCGGTGATTGTCTTTGTCGTGTATAATTTCGTAATGTCCTTTTTTTTTTTGTATTTTGTATTATTATTTTTTGCCTTTTCCGTTATTTTCTCTGTTGGTTGCAGGTGGGGCGCCAAACACGCATACATTATGGCGAAGGAATCAAAAAGTTTTGAGGACCTCGCCTAGTTACTCTCTTGACTTGGGAATAGGCGTAGGTGCCACTCAGGAACCATCCGGCTTCAACAAAAGCAACATCAACAACAAAAATTAATTGGGAGTGCGTGATACTAAAGAGTAATCACAAGCACACGCATACAAACACCCAATAATAAGGGTGAGAGGAAGGGATATGCTTCGGCAAACATTGTGGAACGGGATAAAACCGTACCTGCACGCATTCTCCCCTGGCGCGCGTGCCTCTGAGAAGGGGATGCTTTATCGAAACAAATAATATGAACGCCCATACGCGGGTGGCGTCTATTCAGCAGGCGCAGCGCACTCACAGTGAGGGGAAAATATTTCTTATGCTCTTGGTGCTGGATCAAATATATTCCTCTCTGCGACTCTAGTGGGCGTCGCGGTCATCGTTATTTTTGTCTACTTTTGTTAGCAACCATTTAGCCTCAATACACACAAGCAGTGCTGGATTTTAGGAGTACTTAATGAGCATGAGTTTTACCAACGCAATAGGGAGATGAATTTAGTTCTTGAGTCCCGCAGGGATGCGATTGAGGGGACAAGAGAAGCCATTGGCATTAGACCGGCCGTATTTGATGCACCGCAGGATGACCTGTACGTCAGCCGCACCGGTGATTTTTCACCACAAAAGTGAAAAAGGTCACTTATCGTGTATATTGCCCTTTTTCCTCTGCCACCGAGATGAAGGATTATGATTGGGACGACGACGACGACGACGACGTCAACAATAGAATGGGAGAGGATGAGGAGAAATTAGAAGGGTCTGTATAAAAACCAAAAAATAGGTTCTGAGAAGAAAATAAGTAAAAGAAAAAGAAGTGTTGCTGCAGAGCCAGTAGTGGTGTATGTCTCTGCCTGGGAAGGGTGGGGGTAATGGGAAAGGGGGTAGGGTAGCATTGGGTGATAACGCTACATCAGGGTGAGATAGGATGAAAGAACAAGGAATGAAGAAAAAAAGGTATGCATCCAGGTGTGTGCATATATACATCCTATTATTGGCATTGTTAATAATGTGAGTTTGTTCCCGTGGGTGCAAGTCGGAGTGTGGGGTTAGTTAGTATTAGGTGAAGAGTTGTTTTCTGTTTTGACGCCTTCTCCAATGTCTCATATTTGTTAAATTTTGAAATACTTGCGGCGAATTGTGATTGTTGTTGTTATTCCAATTCTGACTGCATTCCGAAACATGGACTACACACTTACCATCCTTTTTTTTTTATTATTATTATTGTGTGTGTGTGTGTGGCAGTAGTAGTGGTGGTGGCGGTGAATATATTTGCCGGTCTCTCGCGCCACCAATGCCGCATCATCAGCATCCTATTGCAGTGTTGGATGTGGGGTCATGCAACACTAGGCTCGGCTTTGGTGGGGAGGAGGCACCACGCGTGGTGCAATCAACTATTGTGGGAACTCCGCAGCATTGCGGCGTGATCGGGTCTCTGTTGCAGCACCACAGTGACACCTTTGCTGGTGAGGCGGCGTGGGAACGGCGAGGACTCTTGAATCTCAGTTACCCTGTACAAGGCCGACGTATAGTCAGTTACACGGGTCTTGAGCACATCCTACATGATGCATTGTATACCTGGCTTCCTGTAGTCCCGAATGAAACACCACTTCTATGGGTGGAACCAGTCTCCACCTCACGTGAGGACCGCGAACACATCTGCGAACTTTTCTTTGAAGCATTTGACGTTCCACTCCTCGCCATGACGAATGCTGCAGCCGCGTCAGTGTACTCCACTGGGCGCACTTCGGGTCTCGTTTTGGATAGCGGAGAGGACTGTACCACGGTAAATGCCATCTGGGAGGGTTACAACTTGCAGCACGCCTTCCATTCCTCTTCCATAGCTGGGCGTACTTTGACGGATCGTTTGTTTGGATATTTGCGCGGTAAAGGATACGCCCTCTCCACGGCGGATGATCGCTGTCTTGTGGAAAAAATTAAGCGTTCCTGCTGCTACGTCGCTGCCAACGCGGAGGTGGAGATGATGAATTTTGGAAATAAGACACAACATGATAGCTATGAGTTGCCTGATGAACAGCACATTTACCTTCAGGAAAGTCAGTTTATGGTTCCCGAGCTCCTGTTTCACCCGTTGAAGGATTGTGATAGTGGCGGTGGGGAGGTTGGCTGGGCAGAGGCGGTGACGCACGTTGTGCGGAAAGCCCCACCGTTTACACAGTCTCATTTACTGGAGAACGTTGTGCTTGGGGGCGGGAATACATTGTTTCCCGGCATCGAGCAGCGGCTGCGACAAGACATGTTGGCGCTGAATACTAATGGAGAACAGGGCATCAACTGCATTGCCTTCCCGGATCGAGACCTGGCTGCCTGGGTTGGCGCATCAGTCGTGGCGTCGATGCCTACATTTTCACAATTGTGTCTTTCTAGGAAGGAATACTACGAAAAGGGTGCCGCTGCCATGCATGTGAGGGCGTAGCATCCAAAAGGTGGGTGTGAGAGGAAAAGTCTTCAAGAAGGGAAGCGTGCCGAATGTAAAATAGCGGGAGGAACAGAGCGTGGGGGACGAGGACGAGCGGTCATCGCCAACCAATGCAACCACAATGAAAGAAGTCTACAAGCAAAAAAGAAAAAAAACACACACACAAGAAGAAGAAAGAACAGGGTGCGGTTGTTTGCTGCAGTGATGTCTTCATCTGCTCTCATTCACGCGTTTCCTTCCTTTTTATTTTTTCACATTCGTTGCTGTTGTTGTTGTTTTTTCTCTTTCTTTCTCTGTGCAGTGCTTGGCCGCGACGTGCATACCGAGAACGGGAGAAGGGAGGGCGAGTGAAACAAAAAGCAAAAGGAAAAAGGTGCATCGTATTTTCCGGCCTGGGGCGTTTCTACGCATTCATTGAGGAACGAAATCAGGGAGGGAAGACGAGGCGCATAATCAAAAACAAATTGGTCAGACGTCTTTTAGTTGGTGTGAGTGACGGCTTGCAGGCGGTGTGCGGCTGCCATGTTACCCGAGAAGAAGGTGTCATTCTTTTACAGGAACACTTCCACGAAAGAGCGGGGGCAAGGTATCGTTATTCCAAACATTCCCAAAGTTGTAGATGAAAGGGCCCGCATTCGACTGTTGTGTGACTATGAAAAGTACGAGTCGGAGTTGTTCAAGCACCACCTTGGAACCCCCGAGACAACGCGGACGCTCGGCCTGAAGTTTGTCCCCGTAGACTTCGACAGACGGCTGCCGTCACGTGACGAACCAACCCTTGCCGAGCGCGAGTATGAGGCCTCTAGGCGATTTCGGAAGAAGAACAGGCAATCCTCGTATTCAGCCGCCATCTCTGGACAGTCACCGCGGTATGAAGCAGCAGACGCACAGCCCGCAGCATTCACATTAAACGAAGCTGCAAATACAAGTTTAATGCAACCCTCAACGGTGGCATCGACATCAGTTCCGCTGCCCGAGCATGTCCTGCCACTGACTATGAGTCGTAATCGGTCGGTGCGCCCCACAAGGGCTCCTTCCATACCAGTGCATCCACCTTTGCCACCTGAAGCAACAGTGCTGGAAACATCAGAAAAGAAGACAGCACCCGTAGCAGCACAGAAGAAATTGTCTCCAACGCGACCACTACAGCAAACGTCGCAAGAAAAAGAATCGAAGCCTCAACCTGAAATGAAAATGGAGACGATAAGGCCAACAGTGCCGGAAAAACAGTTGCGCCCTGCTTCATCAAGGAAAAGTGGTGCTGTTAGCGGTAGTTCAGGAGGACTGCCTCAGTCAAAATCTGAGAAAGTGTTAAGTGCCGAACACTGTGCACAATTACTTCGTGTCCTTCTTTGCACCCCGCCGGAGTATAGCGAATCATTTAAATTGGATCTGCGTAACATCGATCTGAGGTGGATGCATGGGTCACGGTATCCCAGCTCTTTTGTGACGTTGCATACATGGCATCCCCCTGAAAACGGTGCCAGCGTCCCATCCCTCAATTCTCCACGCTCTGTTATTGTAATGCTGCAAAACGGCATTGCCGTAGATGACTTGGTGCCGCACACCACCATTCACGATGGTGCACTTCTTCCAACAGATCCAGAGCTGCGTCAGTTGGTGAAACGCATGCGCATTGAGCGCAAACAACGATGTCGTGAAAATTTGCTTCAAACCCTGAGTGAGAAATATATGGAGTTATGCCGTAGCGTTAACCTGGCAGATGTACTGAAGGCATTTCGTAATGACGGGAAGCGAAATATTGTGGTGGAGATTCCGGCCTCCCTCAAAATTGATCACGAGCGGAGGCAACGCGCGCTGTTGATGGAACGAAATCGACTAGAGAAGCAAATAAACTATGCAAAGGACCTGCATACGCGGCAACTGATAGCGGATGAGCGACAGCTGCGGGCGGAAGAGGAGGCGCAAGCAAGAATTGAAGCGAAGAAGGCAGAGGAACGACTTGCACATGAGCGGGCAGCGGAGCGTCTTGCGCTTCAGCGGCAAAAAATTGCTGAGCGGGAGGCCTTTTACCGAAAGGTACTTCAGGAGCGCCAAGCACGGGCGGCGGAAAGACAGGCACGATATGTGGAGGCGCAACAGCAGAAGATGGAGCACCGTCGCAAGGAGCAGCAGCGGCTTGCAGAGGAGCGCCACCTCCGCTTTGAGCGTGTGGCAGAGAGGCAGGAGAAGCAGAAGTTGATGATTCAGCAAAAACATGAGGCGAAGGAGGAGAAACTGCATCGTCTGCACGAGGAACAGGAACGGCGACGGGAGGAGTTGCATGCAAAGATCTTGGAGAGTGCGGCAAAGTCCATGGGGCTGCGGGAGTTGGTACGGAAGCGGGCTGCGATGCATGAAGAGAAGGTGCGACAATTAGCAGAGGAACAACAACAGAAGGTGGAGGAGCGTCTCGTGCGCTTTCGGCAGAGCTCCAAGGAGGCGCGTGCACGACGCGCGCTGGAGGAGGAAAAGAAGCGCACGCGCACGAAGGAGGTCCTCACTGCGGCTGCTGAAAAAATCAATAGCCTCAAGGAGGAGACTATCAAGAAGCAGGAGAAGCACAATAAGTTGTTTGATGAATTGCAGCACCAGCGAGAAGCGGAGTTGGTGACGCGGCAAGAGAGAGAACGCGAGGATATGGAGGCGAAATCCTTTGCCGTGGTACGCAACAAGCGCGTGACGGAGTTTGCGAAGCTCGAGACGGTGCTGCAGCTTCTTTCCAAACGTGAGGCGGCGTTATCACTTGAAATGGAGCGTGCGGTGCTGCGGCAGGAGATGTGCAAGGCCCGTGAGGCCATGGTGGCGGAGCGACAGGCCTTGAAGGCGAAGGTTCAGCAGACGGAAATCACGCTGTGAAGATCTTCAATAAAAGGAAGAAATTATGTGTCACGACCGTGATGTAAAGTGAAATGAGCTCAACTGCGCCTAAACGAGAGTACAGGGGATAGAGGGAATATACAACATATATATATATACGCGAAGGGAATGACCGAAGCGGAGGTGGTGGCTTCGTCTATATACATATACAATATATGCCTCTGTGAGTATTTATTTGCATAAATACACGCATTTATGTAAAATAGGGTCGAAAAACAACAAGGAAAAGGATTACCCTCCATCCTTCTCAGAAACACACACAAAGAAACCAAGGCACACATACACCAGAAATAAAATAAAAACAAACAGTTTTTTGTTTGCTTACTTCTTTCTCCGTGATTGTGGTCACCTCAATTGGTGCTGGTGCTGGTTCTCCTCGTTGCTTGTATTTCCACAGGTATCTTCTTCTGTTGTGCTTGCTGATGCCTTTGCTGCCTGTTGTGCTCTGCCATCTTCATGAGGAGAGGGAATGTATTTTGTAGGTGAGAGAGAGAGAGAAAGAAAAAAAAAGGAAAGAAAAAACAAGCATTGTGATGTGTGCCTGCCTTCTTAGTCCCCTCAATTACTTATTTTTTATTTGAGGTTCATGTCTTTGAAAGCGACAAGAAACAGCAAAAGCAAGGAAGAGTTCCGCGTTGTTTGTTAACCCCGAAAGGACACATTTTGACACACGAAACTATTTTATACGCCGTTTGAACGGTTCAACTTTCACAGTATACACAGGTGATGGAGCTCGCTACCGCTTTAACGGCGGCAATGACACCGATTGTGCGGGCAATTTTTCTTATGATGTCTGCCATACATGATGGTGACGTTGGGGACAAGAAGACGTGGAAGTGTTGCCACACCAATGGAGCGACAGCAGAGTCGCCCAGCGTGACTGAGGCATGGCTGGCGTTGCAAAGGGAAGGTCAAGGAACGCCACCAGTGGTGGAAATGCACTATCGTCTGGGCGATACGGGTGATAACATTGTAAGGGTAAAGTGGGTTCCTACGGACAACACCCATTTGGTGTTAATTCTGCAGCACCAAAACGACACTGCCGTCTCGAGAGAGCCTGTAACTATTTCACTCTGCACAGAGTGTGAACCGCTTAAGTCTAGTTTGCTCGAAACGACACAGTGGACGGCGGAGGCAGCAAACGCGGCCGTTGCACGGCTTCGGCCAGCACTATTCGACCATATCACCCGACAGCAATATCGCCCTTACGACAGCAACAGCAACAACAACAGTGGCGACGGAAACGGGGCAATGTCTTTGAGAGCAGAGCCACCACGGCAGGCAGTAGAGAGTCGTCAGGAGTATATTCCTGCCGCACCTTACGTTACTGAACCACAGGGCGTCACCCAGCCAATGTTCGCAGGTACGGCCCCGAGACCACCTGGTTTTCGTTACGGTGAAGGCGACCTGGTGCCTGGAGGCAGTTTGTCCCCGGAAGGTGGTTCTGGTGGTGGAATGATGCTTGGCCCCAGAGCTTTTCATGGTGGCGGTGTCATGCCTGTCCGCTATGACCCGATGTTTCCTGGTGATCTGCCAGACGGGAGTGGTATGCGGGGCCGGGGTAGAGGGCGTGTGTTTCCCGGAGAACCTGACCCAGACAATTTGGCTCCGCCGGGAGGTCCAGCCTTTCAAATGGGCTTTGGCCCAGGAGGCGCTAGAGGCTTTGGCGGCGCTGGAGGTGGATTTATCCCGCCATTTTAATAGTGCCAAAGAAAACAAATATTTATATTATTCCTTTGAGCTAGTGGATGAGTCTGAGTGCGAGTGCGTAGTGTTTTGCTTACTTACTTAGTGTTCTTGTTCATTTACAGCTGCCGTAGCGGCAGCACGTTTTGCATGCATATTTGTGTGTGTGCGGATCTCCATGTGCGCGTGTAGGCAACTCAGCTGCGTTGAACGTGGATTTTAGCCGCTTTGCTATATGCAAAAATAAAATGTCGTTACGCTTCTTTTCCTCTTTTTGTTGTCTCTTACTTCCTCTTTGGTTTCTTTCAGTGTGGCTAGCGATGGTATCGTACAAGGAGGATTTTACGCGTGATGGGCGCAGGCGCGCCCCACGACCTCTTTTTGGTGTAAATATCATCCGGCCCTTCCCGTGGATTCGTGTCTTGGTTGGCATTGGTGCCATGGCGTTCGTGTTTCGGCAGCAGTACATGTCATATTACTACCTCTCGCCCGAAGAACGGTTTATGCGCAAGATTGTCGTAGCTCCCTACGGCGTTCTTGGAAATCAGATGACACTTCAGGGTGGAATGATCCGCGCCGGTAGTGAACCAGACGAGAGCGTTGTTGTGGTAGACTCTGCCGACATGCGTCATATCTTTGCTACAGCTGATGGTGCAACAGGGGCCTCGGGGGCCATTTACAACTGGCTGAGGCTGCGTGGACCTTTCCCGGACGAAGTCGTACGGGCGATATCGCGTGTTTGTGACGCCAAATGGTTTCGGTATGGTGAAAAAAATGTGATTCATGTCATTGCACCGGACTTCCGAGAGGGCACGTGGTCGGAGCGAGAGGCCGTACTGGAGCTTTCCCGTGCATACCGCAATGTATTGCATGAGTTTGTGATGAGTGAAGCCGACGCGTTGCGTGTCGCCCCAATTTCTCACGGGGCACAGTCAGGACCAATCTACAATCAGTTACCACCCATCACTCAATCAGCACTGAACATGGCCTTTGAGCAGCTGCATGTCTTTGACCGGGAGTATCTGCTGAGGCAAGACAAGAATATCGAGCTCTGCATCTTTATGAACAGAGAATGGGACATGTACCAGAATGTCTTCAAGGCTCACAAGCAGTTGTTGACATTTTAGGCTCCTAGAAGGGAAGGGATGGGGAAAAAGAAGGAGAGACGAAGGAGGAGGAAGTACATGCACCCATTTGTTGTGGTGTAGCTGGACTGTGTTGTGAGTGACACATGTGGTTTTTGGCGAATACATTTGTAGGTTGTTGATGTCTCTATGGTTCTTTCACACGCTTCCTCCTCCTCTGCCTATGAGCGTGGGTGTGCAGAGCAGCACTACCGGGATGGTGTGCAAGCCTCCACAGATGCAATCAGTAGGTTGTATTTATTGTGTACTGCCCTACGGGTGATAGATGCGCCTTTTTTTTTTTCTGGACGTCTTTATACCACGGACGTGATTGGCTAATGGGAATAGTGGTGTTAATAGTAGTGGAAAGATTAACACGAATTGCTGCCGCCGCAGTAGTCGAGACGGTGAATACCGTTCATCTATTGCACTTGCGGGATCATTTTTTTTTCTTTTATTCGTTTGTCTAACCTTGTTTTGGCTGCTGATTGTGTTGACTGAAGTCGGAAAATGCTGCGGAGGAGGGTGTTGCCTGACGGTCATCGATATACCGCACTGCCGCTGATTTATGGAACGTCGCAGCATGGTATTAAGACATTAGACGTACGTGAATACCGCCCACTGGCGACTCCGATTGAGTTTCGCTTCTACCAACGCTACGCCAATCACCCGAACCGGCAATCCGGGATACAATTTCTTACACACTACAATACCCACCAACGCTTCCGCGTGAACAAAGACTATATTGATTACATGCACTGGGGAAAGGAGCAGGGCCAGGCCCGCCTGCCACACCGTCATCAACGTGTTGCCTTTGACTTCAATGATCAACTGCACCCGACGCGTACGGCCGAGGGCAACGGTGACACCCAAGCATGGTGCGCGGAGCAGGACCCCTCGCTTGGCCCTCATCCAGACTTGGACGCATCGTTTGATCCAAATCGTCACGTTTTCTCCCATCCAGAGCACTGGAACAAGATGTTTTCCAAACGGCGTCCCGGTGAGGGCAGCATTGATTTGAGTGTGCTGCCGTCGCGAAGTCTACTTGGGCCGCTCATGACGCAATCGGATACCCATGGGGCCGCCTACTTTCGGCTGGATAACCGCGGTCACAGCAATGGCAAGGTGCCCGGTCTGAATTCACCATTTCTTGGCGAATTTGATCGTCAAATGATGCAGGCAATGTCAAGACCGCTCAACGCCGACCGCACCATCACCGGCAATGACGGCCGCTTCTCTAAGACGATCATGATTAATGAACCAATGACACATCAACATCTGAGCGGGAAGACAGCCAGTGAGTTAAGCACAGAAATTGATGTTGCGACAAATGCTGTTTACTCGAAGCTTACCGTTTTGGAGGCGGCGCAATCAGGACTTACAAACTACTTTTGTGGTGGTCTCAACTATGAGATGCTTGGCTTTGACTTGCATATGGCGGAGTTGCTGCGAGAACGGGCACGTGCAATTCTTGGCAGGGATGCAGGCGTTTCTTCCTCTTCTGTGGCGTTCACGGCATCCACGGATTCTACCAAGACGGAGGAGCGTGTGGTGGGGCAGCTGCTTCGAGATGCGTCAGGGTATGTGGATCGTGCGGATGATGCTCTTCGTCAACATGCCGCGCTTATATGGCGGGTGTATACTGCCCCGCGTCCACTGATGGCACTGACGAATGGTAAGTGTCGGGGCACAGGCTGTGGGGTATCTGTGTACTCCAAGTATTGTGCCCTTAAGGATGCTTCAGAGTTTATTTTTGATGGTCCCAATGTGGGAATTACTCCATATGGTGGTCTCACTCGGTTGCTTGCGCGTCCGGAGACGTCGTTAAAATACCCAGGCCTGGCAGAGTTTATTGTCTTGACAGGTACCTCCCTTTTTGCAGGCGATGCTCTTCGCCTGGGCTGGACCGATCTCTTTACGAACATTTCAGACATGAGCTACCATATTAAGGATTGGTTCGACGCTACCGAGCACATGCATAACGATGCCGTCGCCTGGCAGTTAGGGCACCTCCTTGAGACGTGTTTCAAGATGCGAGAAGCTCACTCATCGGCGATGGAGCGTGTTGCCATCACACCTGTGCGAGCACGCTGGATTGAGGATGCCTTTGCCGATCAGCCTTCTGTTAGACACATTGTTGACACCCTTGGTGAAATTGAGTGTCTACCGTTTACTGCGCAACACAACACATGGGACCACTCGCAGTGTACTCCGTATACCCTTGATAGTGTCGAGGCTGGGTTGTTGAAGTTAGAGAGCCATCGCCTACGGTACACACACTCTCCGTGGGACATCACACCACCGGAGGATGAGGTGGCGCTTCAGCACGCATCTGAGGTGTTCAATGCCTATGTACTGGAGCGGTATGGCACAGAGAATGTTGTCGTTCACAGGGACACGGAAAAACTGGCCGCCTGGCGTCGCCAAAGACAGCAAGAATACCACGCTCACCGTAGTTTACGTGGTGCACCTCATTCTCGTCACGTCTACGCTCGTTTGGAGGGTTGTGAAGGGAAACTAGTTTCCTTTGATTTTGTGTTTTTCCTCCAACAACATGAGAACCTGGAGAATAAAAACAAAAAGGAGGAGTCGCGATATACTGCATCCCTCGATGCGCTGAAGCGCAAGGTGCTGGCCTCCTTTGGGATGCCGGACGGCCGCGACATTGAGCTGGGTTGGTATCTCCCCACCTTGGACACCTGCCCTATTTACAGTGATGAAGAGCTCATGCAATTGCTTCATGCAGATCCCGGCATTGAAGATCCAAAGTCAGAGTTAAAGTATCCACCCATCTACTTTATTGTCAAACGTAACACTCTGTATTTCTCTGAGTGGGCGTATGCGGTAAAGCACCAACTGTTGCTGCAGTCGCCCTTTGCACTTCGGGCAGCTTATGAGATGCTGACAGAGGTGCGTGGTGATGGCTTGGCCGATAGTGTCATGCCGCTGGCTGAGTCACTCGCAACCGAGTTTAAATACGTTTCACGACTTCTTCGGCGACCTGACTTCTACCGCGTAGGTGTGCATACAGACAAGTCAGCAGAGACGTGGGAGGAGATTCGGGAGGAGCGTCGGCGCAACATACATAAGACACATCAACCGACTCGACCATTGCCTGACTTTGAGGAAGTGTTTGAGCGGAACGTCGAAATTGAGGGTCATCGGTTTCTGTTGCGGCCTCGTTGGAACCCACGCACACTGCAAGATGTCTTAGAGTCTGATGTGTTGCAACTTCGCACCCCGTTGGTGTACAGTGGTGAAGGCATTGCCCCGCTTTACGTTCAGACTCAGTGCGCCAAGGCAAACCGTATCACTGGTATGGTGGAGGATGCAGGTGGCTTGGAGGTGGTGCAGGGACTTGGCGAGGTGGACGCAAAGGGGACCCCTGTGGCACCGCCATTGCAGCCCAACGCCCACGTGCCCCAAAATGTTAGCTTCTACGAAATGGCGCGGCACCCATGGGAGGATACTGCCTCTTCTTGGCGGCGTGACGGCTTTACGGAGGGCTCACTGGAAAACTATGAGGCACAATATCGTGCCGCGGAACGTGCCGTGTATGACGAAGAGGGTCGCGGTATTCATAATTACTGGCCCTCTCGTGAGGCCTCGGAGGGTGTGACGAGCGAGGAAAAAGACACCGCTCTTTTGCAGGAGCGCCTCTTTAAACCGCTTGAAGAGGCCATATCCGCAGTTGAACCATGGGCTCGTAATCTGCGTCGTAGCGCAAGCGATGGTACGCTTGGCTACAAGACAGAGATTGCAACACCCGAGGAGAAGATATACGACGACGAGTACTACCGCTGGTTTATTCAGCCTGGTCACCACCCGAACCCAAGTGGCCTCACCAGTGTCAAGAGGGGGTCTTCAACACAGCATAGCACCGATGCAGCGGAGCTTGAGCGCATCTGGCGCAGTGTGGCTTCCGGTGACGATGATGGTAATGCATCAGAGGTGGAAGGAATGGCGACCGAGGATGTGGAAGAGGTGGGTAGTGCACACATGAGCGAGGAGGAGCCTGTTGCGCATACGGATGAAGACGAGAGTGCATAACCATACAAAAGGGGTTAGGGTGAACCCCGAAGCGGGATTCAGTTGTTGGGAAAGGCAAGACCTGCAATGTTGCATATCAATGTGGTGATGCAGGGCCCCTGCTGTGGGTATATATATATATATATATATAAG